ATTATGGCAATGTTCTCAATAGATTTGTGTTGAAGACGTTGTTTCAGTGTCGGATATGCAAGTAACGAATTCACAACAATAAACGTAACAACTGATAATAAAATCATCGCCAATACAAGAGGGATATTTATGGACTTAATTGTTGTTAACGTTTTGTCCAAACGATCAAAAGCAGGCGCCCACCAGTCATCGATACTTGGATCAACTCTCTTCAATTCACCTAAAGAACATACTCCAATCATTTGTGAATATCTATGCTAGTGACAGTATATGAGTGTACCTCCAAAACTCGTGATGACCAGAGATTGACAGCTGATCTCTCCTCTCCGAGATCGAACAGAGAGGGTACTTGCTGGTTACATTCAATGCCTCGAAATCAAAACTAATTTCATCATTGCCGAACGGACCAATCACGATGAATGTATATTCCCTCAGAGCTACCCCATTCCTTAAGCGATTATTGAGCTTTAAACTCAAACCAGACCTCAAGTGGATCTTGTAGATACGGTCCATTGCTAAAGTTGCTGGCAAAATGGTGGAATTCCTGTAACGCTCCAGTAAGTCGCTGGATCCTCGTGCTAGCGTCTAGCTTTACAAAAGCCAGGTCAGGCTTAAAATAGAATACTGCTTTCATATTTAAACAGGAGCTGCCCAGTCTTCACTTGCCAGTTTCAGTGGAATCAGAAAGCGTCTCCAAGTCGTTATGGATGAAAAATTGTTTTCCACCATTCTCTCTCACAGACGAAACGCCTCAAGCCTCTCATTGCCCTATCGTTATTTCTATGGGAAGTCTTCGGACAGACTACATTCCTTTGTTCCACCAGTACTAAACTTCACGGCTAAGACCAACCATACTACGCACATTGCAACAACCCAACCACATTCGTTCGTATTTCCTTTGATGAGAATTAAGTTTCACTCAAGCAGCTTCTTCCCGTGAGCCTCTGCTCTGTTGAACTGTCCCCTAAGGAGGTATTTTCTCGATCACTAAAATCTTAACCTGTTCAAGATTTAATCATTATCTTCCTCACATATCCGCATGAATTGTGCCTCTTCAGTTGCTACTTCGAGTTGCAATTTGGCCTTGTTCAGCGTGAACCTCATCGTACAAAAAAAAAATGAAGAAATGAAGAATCGTGTTTGGTAGTCACATGGCAGTGTCCTAAACCTCAAGTGTAATTAAGGCACAGCATTTTAAATGTGTTAATTACGGGGAAAATGACGTGTGTGCATAAGCTCAGATCATGATAAAGACAATATTACAAATACATAGCTGTAGAATATTGCAGTGACTTTTTGTTTCCAACAATGATTATTACCATCAATGATATATATAGTAAATACACGTGTTGGAATAAATGTACTATTCTTATGAACAGAGAAAGTAATGTCTGGTGGTTCGACAATCCAAATAAAAAATAACTATGTCCGGAATCGAACCTGTATTCTCTTTGTAACTCAACAAAAGTAGGAAATCTATTAGTCTACGTTTAAAATGGAATAATGGTTCCATTCCTGCCGGGAGGTATAGTTCCTTTATTAAGATTCGCAATTTACAGGGCTGTAGACTAATTATACTGTTAAGTAAAAAAAAAAAAAGATCTCTATTCAAGCAACTGTTTCCACTGAATATAAGTGTTACTGTCGTACTGAATAATAGCGATATTTTAAATAACATTATTTGCCTAAAACATAACCGCAATTATCTTGAAATGCTGTTTTTTTTATTTCTAAGGCGCATCGTTAGCGAGCTGCTAGCTAAGTTAAAGGTTAGAGAAACTGTGAACTAAAATATTTAAATGCCAGTTGCGCAAAAAAATTGGACATGTGCCAGACTTTGTTCGCTAAACAAAGAAATGTGACAGTATATCCCGTGTTTAAACTAGGGACAAAGGTCGATTCCATTCATAAGCTAACATTTATCAGAAATATTGAAATTCTCGATAAGTGCGGAGTGTAAAATCGACAGATAACAGATAATTTGTGCCACTGGTATCCACGTCTCTCTGCTGTACTCGATGTCAAATGGCCTGATTGAAAGGACAAGAGCTGAAAGAAATGTCGCATGCACGATAGTCAGCGATTTATGGTCGGTTTAATACGTGTTCGGAATAGACTTGTTATTTATACCACGTGACTATCACTGGCTATAAAACAACGAAAGTGAGGATAAAATAATAGCAAACCAGTACTTTTAGAAGAGGAAACATGATATATATATATATATATATATATATATATATATATATATATATATATGTGTGTGTGTGTGTGTGTGTGTGTGTGTGTGTGTGTTGTATTTATGGGTTAAAGTGCTCAATATAAGTGATAGAGCGGATATGAATATAACTATTGAGCTTCAGCAAGAAACAAACTGTCGCCTCTAACTGTATGATATATATATATATATATATATATATATATATATATATATATATATATATTATTTTTCATTATAAGAGTTTATAAAAAATATGTTGAAATTGCTACACAATACCTTTTGAAAAAGTAGCAATTTCAACATGTTTTTGTTTTAATCTCTTATAATAAAAAGCGGACACTTTTATTTCAAACATATTCTTTTGAATATGACCAACAAGGTAAATTTGATTAACTTTTTTATTGGTTTTTCTAATATTCTTGCATTTTTTTGTCTGTTGGGTGTAATGGAGTATAATAATTATCCCTATTGTCTTTTGTTGCAAGCGCTTTCGTTCACTTTTTTAGCCATTTTCTAGTAGTTTGTTGTTAAGTCTTGTTAATTTATTTTCATGGTTGTCTGCTTAAGTAACACATTCCCTTACTAAATAATGTGAGATTTATACTGCGTGACAGATGTTTTATATAGAGGACGTCTCTGACAGTAGTTAATCGTGTATTTGACCAGCACTCCTCTTTTATAGAAGTTTCATTATAGTCGTCAGAGCAGGTATTGCTATTAAGCTTTTTATTAACATTTTTTTTGTGTGTGTGTTCACGTAGTATTTTTCTTTTCTGGGCAAAAAGTTGGCCGCTTTCAGCTGTTCTATTAGACTTTATCAGGATTGTTGCTGTGTTTTAATATTTTTTTAGCTGAATATGTAGAATTTTAAATATGTGTGACAATATTAATGTCATTGTTTTTGTATTTTTCTTCAGATAGGGTGAGCACGTTGTGACCGTATTCATAGTTGATATTCTTTATTGCAAGCTTTTTCTTTTACTTATTAAAACTTTCATAATTTTCTCCAGGTGGCTGATGTTACGGTTTTTTGGGTATATAGCATATAACTAGTGAGCGAGTCAGAATGACTTATTTCCCTTCATAGTCGACCAATAGAAGGTTGACCAATCAGAAGCCGCCCAACACTGTATTCATAGTGTATAAAGGCGGCCATCTTGTTTCCTCCTACCGGAAGGACCAAAGGCGACCAGGAGAAGGATGAACTACACTCTGCTGTGATATCCACTGCGAACCTCCACTACGCTTTCCTACTGTCTCCGAAATATTCACTGCCGACCGTCATGAAAATGTCTAACAGCTGAGACTATTATAACTGTATTTTCTATGGGTATTTTCGGGCGGAGTTTGCTAGGTTTCAGTGTGTGTCTACATGGCTCTTAACTGATCTCTGTTCTGAGAGATATAACGGGAGTAACGACGGTCTTTTAATTCTAAGACACTGTAATAAACACATAATATTCAAAACCAGAAAACAATCCCCAAAAATAAAGAAATAATAGCTTTACCGTGCCTTCACAACAAAAAAAAATCTAAGTTTCCACTGTCCTTTCTTGGTCTCACGTTCTGCACTGGCCTGAGGTGGAACAACTCCATTGAATCAATGCCTGCACCCACTGCAAGGAAATTTGATTATCTGTGTCACGACAGAATACATCCTTCACATCTAAAAATCTACCATTCGTCTATGCATAAAATACTGTTGCCATATATGGTCTGGACCCCATTCTGGTTCTCGACGAATTTTTTTCGTTGGGGATTTTGACAAATATGGGTCGTTTTTTGGCCTATGGCTGAGATTCGATCAAGGCTTCGACTAGTTTGGACTGGCTCCGGCCTGGACTTGCTAGGACAAGTCATGACCAGCTTTGACTAGGCTCTGACCAGCTTGGACAAGCTATGACCAGTTTTGGACCAGTGGCCCTTGAGTGGAAACACTCGGGTCTCCCACGTTAAACGACCTTGTGTCACATCTTGACCCCGTGGGAGTTAAGTAAATACCATTCTGGTTCTCGACACAATCCAAAAAAGGATATGCAATGTGATTGGTCCTGACTTGGAGTCTCGACTCTAGTCACTTTTTCACTGTTGTTATGTCGATTTCTCCTGTCTTTTCTATAAATATTTTCATGGCAAAGTATCAATAGCTTAAAGAAGGCATCCAGTAAGCAGTAGGGGCGATAACTCCTGAAATGCTTCAAATCTGTTTCGCAATAGTAAAGATGGATTTGAAAAATGCAAGGACGCATCCGGAGCACATTTTCATAATTTTCAATAAATTTTATAAATCTATTAATTTTGTATCATAATTAAGTAATAAACATAAAATTGTTTCATTTATCTTTAATTTGCCCGATTTGATTAAAGTAATTATATCTGGCCCACCATGTGTGTTTATATATATATATATATATATATATATATATATATATATATATATATATTATGTAAAATAATTATGTATATAAAATATTCTACAGTATGTGTTCTATCGCATTTAAATGTGTAAGCAATATTTACAATATTACTTACTCTTGATAGATATAAATTAATAACGCTATTGAAAACGTAAACTATTCAAACGCTAAAAATGGCCATATAAACACACACACACACACACACACATATATATATATATATATATATATATATATATATATATATATATACACATACAGGGTGATTGAAAACTAACACCTTATATTTATGTATAATGGACTCTCCCGTCTTGTAAAAATTATAGTTAGACGCGAGATTTCCCTGTACAAAAAATACGGAGGGACTTTTCAATCATCCTGTATATAACATCTATCTATCTATCTATCTATCTATCTATCTATCTATCTATCTATCTGTGTGTTTCTGTGGAGAGATTTCTAAAATTTCAATTTGGTCCAGCGATCTCGAATTGTAACTGTGAAATGCGATTTCATTACGCTGTATTAGTTCACATCTTATTTCATCTTACATTTTATAGGCTTCACCTTGTATTAAGCACTTTTAACAGTCGACTTTATCATTTTAGGATTTTACCATCGACCAACGTATACACCATGTACGCTTAAAATGTACATTGGGCATACAAAATCAATTTTGTACTTTTCACGAATTTTATATAATCATCTTCAAAATACTTCCCTCGTGAGGTCACACACTCCTTACAGTGGTTCTGCCTGTGCTGAAACACGTGTGGACCGACTTCTCCCCAATGCAATGGAGCTCCACCGTCGCTTTTCTTATTATTTCCTCTCGCCACACAAACCGCTTTCCTTTCAGATGATTATCAGATTGGGGAAGAGCCAGAAGACATACGGTGACATGTCTGGAGAGTAGGGAGCTTGTCGAACAAGTGGTGTGTTGTTCTTGGACAGGAAAGTATGGGGTATGTGGGGGTAATGAATGGGAGAATTGTCTTGATATGTTTGCCGATTTTTTGCCTTCCGCATATCCGGTTACTTTCGACACACAGTCGCAAGAAGGCAACGTGTAACCTCAAGATATTTTTCCTTATTATTCGTTTGACCTCCTGGAGCATATTCACAATGCAGTACCACGGGTGTCAAAGAAACAGGTCAACATTACCTTCACATTAACGAGATCATGTGTTTTTGGAGCCTTGGATGACAGCTGCTTCCATTGCGAGGACTTGAATTTGGCTTCCGTGTTGTAGCCATAAACTTATATCTTATCACCAGGGATATTGGTCTTTATGTGGTCAGGGTCATAGTTTGCACAATCCATCACGTCCTGAAACAATTCCATCCGGAGTTGCTTCTACTGCTCCCTCGGCACCTTGGAGACAAATTGCACCGATACTCTCTGCATGTATATATACTCCGTTAAAACGGAATGCACTGATTCTGTGCATATTCATGAGCAATTACCTGCATTATTGCGCGACTATTCGCTATTAATATTCACCGAACCTTCTCAATCGGCTTCTCGTATCAACTTGATCTGAGTTTTATTCATGGTATAATCGCCAATGGCCTCCGACTTCTGGATGGTTTCAGCTTTGAGTATCTCCTTGCTTTTCTTTTCAAAACTTGATGCAATATATGTATTCGTTCCTTTCAGTCATATTGCCTGAGAATGAAACCCAACAAGCGCGCACTACTCGTCTGTACTCTAGGTGGTACAGTCGTGAAATGTTGAGGTCTATCGGTGCTAAAAATTTTCCCGCCGACGCATTTATGTATTACCGGTGTGATTTAAGATCAAAATTACTGAGAACAATTATTATTTATGAATTTATATGCCCCTTAATGAACTCCGTTCCTGATCAAATCAATTTCATGAATAATTATATTGGAAATACTACTAACGGCCTATCGTGAGGAATGGCGTTACTGACCATAGGTCCTTTAGAACCCATGTAAACACGCACAGAGACCTACCGAACTCCTTCCACAAAATACTCGTAGAAAATAAGAATATTATGTGGGTCGCTGCGCCAAATGTGACGTCTGCCTGGCCGAACCCGCTGTGCTGTCCTGGTCACGGCGCCAATTGTGACGTCCCCCCGTCTGTCTCCGCGCCCCGTCCTGTCCTGCGACGACCAATGTGACTTGGTATTGCTCGCGGCACCAAATGTGACGTTCTCACCTTTTGCTGATTTGGATGGGAAGCTAGTTAGATTCGGTATCAGCCTTGTAGTTCCCAGATCGCCTCAAACGTCTGGTTACCGAAGTAACTGGTTTGATTTCTAACCTACCCACGTTGTGATTTGATCTTAGGTAGACGAAATCAATCAGTAATGCAAGTCGAGTCCGGGCAACGGTAATACTGCACAAGTATATGTAAAAAAAAATAAAGTAACTACTCGAAAAGTTCAAATGTGTTAAAAAAGGATAACAATATTTTATATCTGGTTGCTGAATACAGGATTGCGTCTTTCTCCCAAACCGCTAATATGGATTCGTGATACTTTGTCTTTGTTAGGCGAGTCTTAACATTTTAAATTGTTCTTTAGAGAAACTGGTTTTGGTGTATCTTCAGGCGATATTCGTAAAAGTTGTTTTGGTGGTGTGAGTCTAAGTCGTTCTTCAAAAATAAATTGTTCTTGGTTAGAAGTTGAGGTCGTGATTGCGTGGATCTTTCAGTCAGGTTCCTTGGAGGTGGGTCTCAGAGTTCACAGCTCAACTGCTTGCCTGTCCGTCTAAACCCAACTCAGCTGCCGTCCACTCGCTGCGACTCTGCTTACATGGACGCCGACCAAAACCAGGGATAATTCTAAATCCGCATTAAGGGTTTTCTTTGTTTTCGGCCAGGAAAATTTATTACTTTCCATTTTTGGAAATCTTTAATTTCTAGTTTAAGGGAATCGTCCTCCCAAATTTTTCCTTTCTCATATGGGTATCTCACCAATCCCTTCAGGGGGCGTCAACAGGCATCCCCTACTACTTCACAGTTTACCTTCGTCTACCGCTCACGCCACCCTTCAGCCAATGAACGCTCAGCGGCGTAGGTGTTTGCTCATTATCGCTCAAAGGAATAAAAAAAAAATATCTTCTTTACTTTTTTTTCTTTTATTTCTCTTCCATGAGCAGACCTCCCACGACCTAATCTCTATCTTAACCGAATTTCATCTGGAGTTCGTCAATCGAGATTTTCGCCAGCATCAAGTGGGTGGTCATCTCGACGACTTTGCACCCTGGTGCCAATTATCTGTTCCGATAAAATAATTTCTATCATGTCCAGGTTTGGACAATAAAACATGTGTTTTTCTTTCAAACCAATGTTATCTCCGACGATAGTTAATGGTTTAATCTATCTTTCTTTCTAATTTGTGGGTGGTCCAGCGGACATTTTTCACGGTCAGAGCATGACCTAATTAATTTTTATCTCTTAGCATTCTGTCCCGTAGGCCACTCGACCAATTTGAAATTTTCATTTTCGCCATGGGCTATCTTCTTTCGCCGCGTCGTAACATATAACGGTATCTTATTTTCTTCGCTAATGAAAATAAAATCTTTTCCACTTTTCTTTGTTAGAAAAAAATAACATCGCTCAGTATCCTTTCGTGATAGCTTCTCATGACCTAATTTAATTCTCGGCTTTTTTTTACGCAACCCTAAATAGTGTCACACAGAAGAGAAAACATTTATACGAATTCAATTGTATTTGAACAAAAAGGTTAATCGTAGCACCTTCTCAGTCGTCTTTAATGATATATATATATATATATATATATATATATATATATATATATATATATATATGAGAAGCGGGTTCGAATCACACCATATTCGATTTGTCAAGAAGTAAACTTCCTGATGTTATCGGACTAGATCGAGGTCAATCCCAGCGTCCGCTACCTTTGGATAATGCCTGAAAACCATACCAGAGTTTGACCCAAGCCTTGTACGTGATATTGAGTAGATGGGACTCTTGGGTTCCGTCGATAGTTGTAATCGTGGCCGAGGTCTTGAGCGTGATGGCCTCATTCAAATTGGTGATCACGCTACATAACACGCTCTCTCCTAGAAATTGTGACTAAGGTCTGCTCTTAATACTTGAAATATAAACCACAGGTGGGCCCTGTGGGTGTTGAACAAACACAATATGTGCCTTAGCGAGCCTCTGCAACAGGGATTGGCTAGCTGCCCTATTAGAGAGGTATCCTCAAATACTAGTGACCAGCTAGCATATATATATATATATATATATATATATATATATATATATATATAAATGTAAGGAAAATCTTGGTAATCCGTATGCATAATCCAAAGGAGGGTGAAATCCGGAGAGCCCAATGTTAAATCAGAGCGATTAATTTAATGAAAACAGATAAGTTTAAGAGTCCGTTGTTTATCATTTATTTCACCAGGGAAATTCTTTTTCCTTGGCTCATCAAACCACACTTCCAAGGGTGAAAATTAATTTAAATTTACATATATATTTTACACTTTTGAGGGGTAGTATTAAGTTGATGCATATATATATGTATATGTGTGTGCGTGTTTTTTTTCTATACAAGAGGCAGAAGAAACAGTATTGATTTTAAAGAAAATAGTCTTTTGCATATATTTTTAATAGGACTACAGTTATAAAAAAAATATTCGAACTGACAAACAAATATCGATTTTTACTATTTTAATATTATTCATGAAAATATTAATTTTTCTTTTCACATCATTCTCTTTAAGAAAGTGTTTCTGACTAAAAGTTTGTGCATCTGTTGAAGTTGGATTACATGGCTCCAAACGATTTATGAAAGAACAATTGTTTTAAAAAAACAGACACAGTTTCGTGGTTTTCCTATTAGTGTTTGTATAAAATGTTTCATTTTCAAAATTTTTCGCGAGTAGTCACGTGGCCGGAAGCTCGTTTCCCGCCAAATTTATTTATCATTATCAGTTAAACGAATGTATGTCATAACGAGAGAAAGCATCGTGAGATTTCATGTTAATATTTGGGCTCTTCTCGATTTCACACGCTTCTCGCTTTCCAAAACCCGTGGCGACGACTGAAAGCGAGGCGTCTATTTTTCTACGCCCTTATCTGCTAAATATCACGATCATTATTCACGAAGGCTTCGACATATGTCTATTTTTTGGTCGTAGGCTTTGCGTTCCTAATATTTCTTTTGGAATTCTTTTAAAAATTGTTGATTTTTTTTTTTTATGTAGCAGAAGCATAAATATGGATACGAAAGAAAAAGTAATGATGATAAGAATGAGGAATGATGCCGTGTACAGAAAGAGGGCGACATGTAAGAGAAAAGATATGAAACGCAAATAGAAAAAGAATCGGGAATAAGAAAATAGAAATCAATGGCGGTCGGCATTATTGAGTAAAGAATAAGGAAGAGAACACTATAATGAAGATGATATATGAATATACGTATAAGTATAACGAAGAATGAAAGCGTAAAAATAAGCGTTAAACGAAAACAGATAAAAGAATAATCTCAAAACTGACAGAGTGGTAGAAAAGAGGAGGAGAAAATGTCTAGAAATGAAAGACAGCAAAGAAAGAGGAAGAAAGATAATATATAAAAAAAGAGCATAAACTGTAAAATCCCGATAATCTAAAGGGAGAGCAAGATAACTGAGAAAACACATATAATAATAATAATAATAACTGGTTGGAAAAGATTCCAGTAGACTAATTGAAGGGATTCCTGGAAGTCCATGCCTCAAGGAGATACAGAAAATTGCTCTGACAAGTACAGCCCACAACTTACGAAGAGCTTTATCTATGTAATCTTTTTTTTTTTTTTTTTTTTTTTTTTGTCAGTGGAAAGTGTCATGACGCCATTTCTAACCTCAGGTC